GTGCCGCGTGGCGGGGCGGGCCGGGCGCGCATGCGCAGTGCTCCCCGGCGGCGGCGGGCGCGGGCGCTTGCGCGGAGCGGCGATGTCGGGGTACGGCGTGGAGGAGCGCGCCGGGCCGCACAGCCCCGAGTACCGGCTCTTCTTCAGTGAGTGCCGGCCCTAGCAGCACCCCCGTGCCTCTTTCTAACCCTCCCCGCCCCGCCGGCGCTCGCCCGAGCCCGCGCGGCCGTGAGCTGTCGCGGTGTCCCCCCGGCATCTCACTCACTCGCGGTCCCTTCCTTTTGCCTTGCAGAGGATGCCGCCGGGCGCTACATCTCCCCGTTCCACGACATCCCCATCTACGCGGACGCCGGGAAGGTAAGAGGGAGTCCTGAAACACGCAAGGGACCCGGGATCCTGAAACATCCAAGGATCCAGCAGTTCCTGGACCCAGGAGATAGGGGTTCTGAAACATCCAAGAGAGCGGGGGATCCTGAAACATCCAGGGGACCAAGAGGTCCTGAAACATCCAGGGGAGCGGGTGGTCCTGAAACATCCAGGGGAGTGTGGGGTCCTGAAACATTCAGGGGGTCCTGAAACATCCAGGGAATCCTGAAACATCCGGGGACCTGGGGGATCCTGAAACATTCAAGGAACCAGGAGGTGCTGAACCCCGGAGATCGGGGTCCTGAAACATCCAAGGGAGCGGTGCTGAAACATTCAGGGAATCAGGGAGTCCTGAAACATGCAGGGGACCAGGGGGGGTCCTGCAGCCTGGAACAGCTGGGGGAGGCTCCCGGTTCCCCRTGCTGCAGGAGCACGTTATAGAGGCACTGCCTAACCCTGCAAGGAATGAGTTTCTTGCYGTCCTGGCCTCGGGTGGAGGGACCCAGGAGGAGAGAATGGATGATCTCATTCTCGTTTTTTGCGTCAGAGATGCGAGTGGTTGGCTTGGGCTTATCCATGTAGGCATTTTGGGATAGCTAAGCAGAAAACTGTTGGTGTTTTTTTTTTGTTGTTTTTTTTTTTTTGTAATTTCTACATCCATTCCTATGGGAGCTGCATGATATTTCAGGCTTGGATTTTGACTGCAGTACAGCCACTTTATGCCTGCAGTATAACCCAACACCAAACAGAGGGTGAGGATGTTAAATTCCTTCTATAGCACCTCCTGGGAGCTCTGGCCTCACCAAACCTGCCTCTTGCAGCACTGCAGGGCTTTCACATCCTTGTGGCAGCCAGTGATTAGTCAAATGAGGCTGTTCTGAGTCAAAAATGCCCCAGSTTCAGGAAATCAAAATGGTTGTGTTTCAGTTTTCATTTAATGCTTTTTCAGCACTACCTCAGGCTCTCTGACTGTGTCCTTTACTGCTGCAGCTTGTTTCTTTCTCTGACATGTACTAAAAAGCTGTGCAGCTCARGAAATGGAGTGGACCAACTCATACTTGTTAGAGAGAGGTAAAATTCGGAGGTGGGTTCTGGGAAAGGAAAAGAATATGCAGATTTGGGAGATAAACCTCTACAAAGCTGCTGATGGAGGTACTGAGGTGGAGGTGATGGAGCTACCTGAGGTGCAGGTGTCAGAATACATTCTGGGAAGTCTGAAGTGGCTTTTGCCTTCTCAGAAGGGAAAAGATGGGCTGTAGTTATCAAGGGTAGTGGTGAAGCAGTTCCTGTAGCTCAGTAGGGAAGCTGTTCCCAGGGCAGGTAACCCAGACAAGGAAAATCCAGGTAAAGCCACGCTTTGCAGACAGGGGAGGAAGGAGCAGGGGAGTGAGCACAGGGGTGGGGAGGATTTCCTTGAACTGGTAATGCTTAACAGGGGAAGCTGGGCTACTGGTGTGCCCTTAGGCACGCAGCACTGCTGCTGGCACCTCTGTGCCCAGACATTCAGAGAGAAAAGTCACAACAGCTGAAGGTCACAGCCCCTGAAGTTACACAATAGTGCTGCTCCCATGGGACTCTCTCTGTGGCTGGAGTGCCTCAGCACTGAGGTTTTAGTCATCCCTTGGCAGGTGGGCTGCCAGCCACCTGACAGAGCCCAGCTTGGAGCAAAAGGTTGTCTCACTCTGTCTGGGCTCCTTGATCCTTATCCTCGGACTCCTAAGACGCTGAGAGGATTGCAGGGTGGGTTTTTTTCAGTCTCAGGCTGGGCTGTGTCGACCTTATCTGGACTTGTGTCATTGCGAAGGGGTGACCTTGGGCTGCTCCCTGTGTGTCTTAGGCCAGGCTRGACCTCGGGGAAGCTTCAGTTCTGACAAAGATGCAGCCCCAAGTCATCTTTCCCTGCCTGCAAAGCCTGCAAAGCACCCAGCCCAGCCTGTTCCAGTTGCCTCACTCCTTTCCTCGAGTTAGGAATAAAAATAGTTATACACCTTGCTACACATAAAATGCAAATGAGCAGTGACCCCCTGCCAYTAAGGGGGTGTAATAAAGCTTTGCCAGGGAAGGGTGTGGGCAGAGTCAGTGATGTAACAGCGTTGTTGCACAATATCAATCCAATTATGGTGCAATACAGGTTCGAGGGACTTTGCCATGCTAATACTGCTTAAGGTGGGGATTAGAAACCTTGCCCAGGCCGGGGAGCAAGGTCTGACTTTTTGTTAAAAAACCATAATCT